CCGTCATTTGCATTGACCATCCCCTGGTGAGATTTGCTCATTATCTTCTAGCCATCGGTTGGTTTAACAGAAAAAAAAAATGGAGAAACAGCAGTTAGTCCACAATAATAATTGACAACATAGCGTCCGACTAAATGCGATAAAACCGGACATGTTGCGTTTTTATCATTTTTCTTGCGATTATCGATGTAATGGCCACGCGAGTTTTATATTTTCTTTGCTCGCTTTACATTTGCTTGTCGAGTTTTCATGTTGTTCTTGTTGAGAGCATCTAAGTTAATGAGAACGGTGTTTATTTAGAAATTCTTTTTGAACATATATGAGAAGTGTACAAATGCGAAGAACGTGATTTGTTTACTTTTCCCAGATTACATGACAACGAGGGTAAATAAATCAAAAATGAAAAAATAAAATAAGCACTTTTAAAATGTGTATTCACCTCAACTTGAAGAGTTAATTATAATCCTGAGAAAATTTTAGAGCAAAATTTATTATCAGAATATTCCACATAATATTTGTGAAATCTTAGAAGTGCCTTTTTGCAGTTCTTTAATCATTCAAAAAGGTTAAGATTATTAGCGTTTAAACACTTTATTCTTATTTATGCTAAACCCATAAACAATATAATTTTGGGAGAATGAGAACAGATGCCAGAGTTATTCGAGAAAGTATACTGAGAGAAAACTGCGTGCATACGGATAGACAAAAATATGAGTAGATACATAAAAACAGAAATTAGCGTAACAGAAATCTGTGTCTTCATTATTTACAGTATTCGGACTATTGTTATTATATTTGTAGCCATACTTATTATAACGTTTCGGCTGTTGTACGCTCCGGCCTTCTTCAGTTATTTGGAATGTTGAACTGAACCCTTTATCTCGCTCACTGGGGTAGACTGTTCTAGTCCCACGTGCCATGTTTAATGGATGTCAGTTATCAGTTATCTCCTGTTAATTCTCCACTGCCTTAACCAGGTATTGAACTCAGACTCTGTTATCATTGCAATATGAGCACTGATAAAAAATGGTTGCTGAAGACATTAGGTTTATAATACCCAGAAATTTATACACAGATGTCAAGGACACATGGCACAGTGGGTAAAGGCGTTAGTTAGATCCAGTGACAGTGTGTGAGTTCAATACCCGGTTAAGGAGAAATTTCAGAGGGAAATCAACAGGAGATGACTTATAACTGACATCCATGGAACTAGAACAGTCTTCCCCAGTGAGCGAAATAAAGTGTTCAGTTCGATATTCCAACCGCCTGATATTCCAACGGCCGAAATGGCGACAAAGATAAGGACAGTAATCCGAATAATGTAAATAATGCACATATTACCTTATCTCAGAAATATAGCCAGATACTGAAGTCTGTATCTTCTCTCCAGATTTACTCCATAGAGATGAAGATTTACTCCTAAGAGTGATGGATACCGTAGCAGGATTTATTTTTAGTACCTGTAATCTTAAGAGTAGATGATACGCAGATGATACTGTGTTGATGCCAGATACAGAGGGAAAACCATAGGACCTCCTAAACAGGGTAGAAAATGGCAGCGAGAAGAAAGATCTAACCATTAAGACAGAATGTATGTTTATCAGGAAGAGAAGAATCCCAAGATGGCAACTACGAATTGGAAATATCAAAATCAAACAAGTAAAGAAGTTTAGATATCTGTGTAGTGCTTTGATGGAGGAAAATGCGTCACCGAAAACCGAACATCCATCGGATTAGCGAAAGATGTATTCAAAATGTTGAACAAAGTATAAATCATAAGGAAAGTTTCGCTAGAAACAAAATATAGACTGTTGAACTGCAATGTGATATACATGCTCTTAGATGATAGTGAATGTTGGGCAATCTCTCAATACATGCAGTTAACATTGGAAGCAACATAAATGCAAATCTACTGAAGGACAATGAGAATTCCATGACCAGAGCGAATAAGCAAAGAGGAAGTCTTAAAGAAAATGGAAACAAGAAGAAAACATATACTCGGAATTCAAAAGAGACAACTGGAATTTATTGATTCCGTAATAAGGAAGGAGGCTTAGAAAACGTAACCCTCACAGCGCATATGGCAGCCAAGAGAGATAGGGAATTCATTTGACGACCTACCTGATGAGTTTGCATGAATGGAACTATGAAGTTGGTGATACCAGAAGTCTTGACAAAGGAAGAAGTTCTGCTCAGGGCTATAAGGGATAAGAAGTCAATTTCAATGAATAATAGGTTCTAAAACGAAAAAAAAATTGTGACTCGCTGAATATATTTTCAGAATATCAGCCGACACATATAATACTTGAGAAAATCGTTATTTTATTTATTTGTCTCTCTATCTATTTATTTACTTTTGATGCGATTCAAACGAAATCTTTTTATTTGAATTTTTAGAACCGTACAGCCTATGATTACAGGGAGTAAAAGCATTGTTTGAATAACCTAATGAACGTGTAAATAAACATTTTGCAAGCAGTTTGGTCGGGGCTTTGTTGGTAATTCTTCTTCATTTGTCCTCCTGTATGTCAAATTCAAAATTAAATTTTTGCTACACATCATCTCCTCGGCGTTTTAGCACTCGGATTGGAACAAATTTCCCTGCGATTTTTTTTTCGATAGGTGGCGTTCGAATATTCATTTTCGTTTCACACGTGACTAATATAAATTAAAGTTAGATTGTAGACATTTCAACGCACCTTTCTATGCGATCAGTCAATTATGTGCCATGCGTGATACAAGCTTAAGCGATCATGTATTTTTCGATACATGTCTGACCAGGCATATTTTTTTTTTCGCAGTAGGGTGTCATTTCTTTCTACGGTAGACAATTTGCCATCCAGGACTATAGAACCCAGTCCGTCCTGCTATTTACCCATAGCTGGGGAGAGAAGAGGATTTATAATTTTCCCAAGGGTATTAGCACCTAAGTGAATGTAATGAATTCGACTGGAATTCGAACTCGGCTCTCCGGTTCCCCAATCGGACTCGCTATCCATGGGACCTACTACGTAGTCGTTTGGGAATTTTAAACTTGAAAATAATGCGCTTTGATTTCCGGTAAAAAGAGCCTAGTGTAAACATTAAAAAAATATATGTTCCGTATATGGATGCTGAACATTGCAGATACACCCTCGTAAAAATTCATTGAAACAAAACGAATAATTCCGTTATTATTAACTCTTTCTTCGTATTTTTCCAATGAAACATGACCCAGTGCGCATGTTAGTATTTCGTATATCCATTCCACGAAGCCTTTCCTAGCAGATTGACCACAGATTCTCGATTGGATTTAAATCAGGAGAGTTTCCGTTCCAGTCTATAGTACTTTGATTTGCTCAAGAGTAAGGATTGCCAGTATGTTCGTGAAGCATTCCAATTTTCGTACGCTTCCTTGGAGTAACGTCCATCGTTACAATAGCTGTAGGACAACTAATCGACAGTTGGGATAATAGTGTGCGGGCGTGATAAAAATCTGATGCAATCACGGATGACGCAATATTTTTCAAAGCCCGAAAATAGATCCACACCACTGCAAATGACCTAAACAGAAGAAAAAATAGAAATCGATTACACCCTATCACTCCGGTGGGTTTTAAACTGAACGTATAGTGAAAGAAAGGAAACTAAAGCGGTTCTTTCAATTAATTTGCAAAAGGATGTATACTTCACATGTCTCATTTAAGGTCTGTACAGACCTGGATAGCGGAAAAGCTACGATGTTGAGGAACTTTATAATTCAAGAGAAAAAGTAATAAATCACATTTCATTCTGCGATTCTCTACTCAAACACAACATGGACTCAATCTGCGCAAAGAACGGTCCATGAAAAGTATGTTGTTTACAAGAATGTGGAGCACAAAACGTCCTTGGAAGAACAACCTAGGCCTCCGTTAACTGTTCCGAACGGCGGTTTGCAATCAAAGTGGTGCTGCTTTGTATCTAGTGGAATTGAAAGGACACGAATTTAGATGATCTCCTTCCGCAGAATCAGACATTGAATTCAGACAAGTACTATTTTCCAACTGGGGCAATTAAAGGCATCACTCAATGAAAAGCATCAGGAATTGGCGATTCGGGAAGATGTCATTTTCCATCGGGACAACCCCTAACCTCATATCTGTTTCCAAAACTGGCAGTAATTTGTAAGGTTTAGCCTGGATGTCCTACTTTGCTCGCTGCACAAATATGAGTCTTCACTATCGAATTATTGCTTATTTCTATACGTACAATATTATCTTAAAGGGAATGTATCTGGAATTTTTGTAAAATCCACTTGAACCAATTTATCACCTGGAAAGTAGAGTGATGATGGAATAATCTGTCTGCTTAAAAGATGGCCAAACATATCATGGAAGGCAAAAACACGTTGATTGTTGAGTAATTTATAATATATTACGGTTAAAATATTTTGTTAACAATTGTGGAAAAGTGTGTATCACGCATATAATAAGGCCTAATAATCAATAATACTCTTAGTCTTATTTCATTATCTTATGAAATCTGAGAGATTATTGTTCAGACTGACAGAGTAAATCATTTTGCACCAAAGGTGTACAGATGCTTTTAAGTTCAAATAAAAACGCTATGTGAATCATTTTAAGTAGTAAGCAAAACCATCGTTCTCTCCTGGCTTTTATTGGCTCTAAAGCAACTCGATCTTTCGAATGAAAACTCACAGAATTTTAGTTCCCTACAATACTTTTCTTCGTTTTTACTATCACTGAAAAGCACTCAGCATTAAATGCATGTATTCACCTTGAAAACTTTGCTAGCAACATTCATTTATGCGCATGCGTGTACGAACGCGTCTGTTTCATTGGCGCATGCGTCAATATTTTCATACCAGAGTTGAAATAATGTAGGCCTGGAACATGATATGTGTGTGAGAGTAGGCAGAGCGGAAATCTTGGAATATTATCTCGAGTTGACACGTCTGGACATAAAATGTAATTCACACTAGAGAAAAAGTCCTAATTAACATTATACAAAATTCGTTT